TCCATGAAACAGGGAAGAAATCCCCAAGGATCAGTCTGCAAAATGCAAGAGGGAAAGAATCCGAACGGAGGAGTCTCTGGTAGATCCACAGGACACAGGTGGAGCATCCACACCACAGGTAGGGTGACAACAAAAACAAAACAGGAGACCTATGCAGTCAAGGGAGGTGAGGAGAAAATATAGGCAGAACAAGGAGGACAATAAGCAACAGGTGTAAGCAATGAGTGGTAATCAGTGGCTAGAGTAAAGCTGAGGTAGGTGAGACTGGCACAAAACAGGAAGTACCTTCAAAATAAAAGTACAAAACAAAAAGTAGACCCAAAGAATATTAGGAACATCTCTGAATATAATGTAGTCCAGTACAACACCACCTTTAACTATGACCTCAGTAATAAACATATAATTGAATTTATACATTTATGACAATTTCACCAAAAACTGAAACATCTTGAGCTTCATAAACACAGATGTTAAGGCGGAAGTGCTGCATTATGTTCACACAATTGTACAGGTGTACCTAATAAAGTGGACAGTGAGGGTAGGTTGATCCCACACCTAATGACTTACATTCAGAAAGGTTTTGTTTACACAAAATGAAGAAAATAAGTTTTGGGTACAATCACAGCTACCCCAAAACCAAAATATAAAAATGTTAATATCAGCTAATGAAAAATATTCTAGAAACTTCAAATCCCACTGTGCATGCCTCATTTAGAAAACAATGTAGTGTCCTATAGGTAGATTCTAAACCAAACAAGCTATGACTGTGTTTTATGAACCATACGTGTCTACAAATGAAAATAACTAAATGTGATAATGATGTGAGTGAAAGTGTGAAAATTTAAATTGTGTGGTTGTGTATATAGACAGATGATATGGGAGCTGGGGTACTGGATGGGTATGCAGCCAGAGTGGATTTTATTTCCCACCTACAATTAACCAAGCTTTTCAGTTGCCTACAGTCTTAACTCTACCATAAGCAGGTGTTTTAGTGGTCTAACTTTAGCCATATCTTAACTATGAATCAACAAAGACTTATCCCCTAAAGTCTGTAGCTCCTTTACCTTTATGGAGCTTAGCTCATTGTGTTTTCACTGAAAAACTTTATAAACCTACTACACACTAGCCATTCTACACCAAATGGCAGACAGCCACAGTTAGCTACTAACTGTTAATCAAAGATCAGCATTAAGCGGTGAAAGGGGCAGATATTTCCTTCAGGATACAGTGGAGATGGAACACTGAACTAAAAGTAGACCAAATATTCAGTTCAGCCAATTCATTCAAATTGGATGTTGTCACATCGTTCAATGGATCCTTATCCATTGTTATAAGGACCGTAGTTATGGATTGGTAGGGTCCTGTTCTACCAACTAATAGGCTCAGTAGTTGCATATCATTGAAACCTGTTGTAATTAGGGGACTTGTAGTGGTCATACTAATAATGACACAAGCTAAGGCAGAAATGAGGTGACGTAGAATAGCGACAAATACCACATGAGGAGGGGGCTGTGGTGGATGGGTGGGTCAAACATAAGACTTTTCCACAGGCGAGTGGTGTTTTTAATGTGTGAGAGGATGACAGCTGTAACAGCGTGTTGATTATTGTAAAAATGATGAAGGCCCTGTAACGTTAGTTTAATCCAATCTAACCTGATCTCTTCCTAAACCTAACCAAATAGTTTCTCCAACTAAATATAATAAATAAAATTGGCACACAAAAACAAAACTACTCATATAGTTAGGTACCACAAGGATAAATGAGAAAATATGTTTACTGAATTAACCCTTTAATTTGTTTCTTAGATGTGAAACCCTTCGGAAATATGCTTTTCTTTACAGATCAGCATAATCCCTTTACTCAGTGGTAAAACATGTTAACATCAGTGACAGCTGTCAAGGTGTGAGGGCCAAAGCAAGTGATGATGAACATTAGACCCATGAAGACCCATGATCCATCGTGTGTGTGTGTGTGTGTGTGTGTGTGCTGTGGAATCACAGTAGCAGGGCCTAATAACATAAGACTCTCTTAGCCTCTATTCAGCTGTCTGTGGCAATCCCATCGGTGATTAGTGTAACAAATGTCTGTCTGTCACATTACAGCTGTTGTTTTGCCAGTCACTTGTAAAGCTTTCATGTCCACGTGCTTTTCTTCAAGGGATCATCTCATTATACTGTGTTTGTGTGTGAGTATGTGTTTGCTTGAAATCATTGTTATCTCCCCAGCATATGTGCATATGTCATTAGAGCACATTATAACCAAAAATGCAATTTCTTCACTTGTTTCTTCTGGTATTTATATAGAAATTGCAATCATTTATATTGCTGTGTAAACTATATACATGTAAATGGAAATGATAGTGTCCTGTTGGTAATTTAGTCTAGTGTATCTCCATCTTCACTTGTGAATCAAGTCAGCTAAGTTCATCATTGCCTGCCATTTTGAAAATAGTCCAAACCAGTGCATTTTGATAACAGTGAGATGGATGGTTCAGTCACAGTGACATTTCACAAACTGACAAGGAGCTTGTGTTTCCACTCTCTCAGTTTTTGTGTCCTAATTCAAGTTTCTTTGACATTGTGAAATTCAAGAAAAAACTAATTCTTTTTTTTTCTGCTTGAAGTTCCCAAGCAATAAACAAACCAAATAGCAACCAAAAGGCACATCATTTCTGTGTTAGAGATAGAAAAGCCTCTGTACCAGAGCTGTGTGCGCCAGTGTGTTTCCTCTTTGATAAAGAAGTGTTTTCATTTACAAGGCAAGTTGAGAAAGAGAACATTCCTAACTACAGTCATTATGGGGGTAGCTGCAAAGGGCTGAAACACACACAGACATGCACACACCTGGAAATGGCCCAGAGAACCTCAGTCTTCTAAAGTTGGCCACTAATGGAATGGAACTGTGACTGGACAATGTAGTCAGTGGGTACAGAGGACTGTCTTTGATGCAGCTAAGGGGATTCAAACTGGCAACCATGAAGCCCAACTAACTAATTAACTCTAAGGCTGCTTGATCGGTGCTTCTGTTGTTTATGCCTGGAAAACACAACTTGTTAGCAAAGTTTATGGAGCAATTTATGAACAAATAAATGGAGGATGGGACTTAGCATGCATACTAATAGCCCATGTGTTGTAATTTAACATTTGTTGCTTCTCTTGTGAGCCAAAATGGGAGCATTAAGAGCAGGAAGAGGGAAGATGGAGAAAGGAGCCCATTGCTCTTACAGAACATTAGAGTTTGATGTTAATTATCCTGATGTGGGTCGAAATAGGCTCATGCTGGCCCACAGGGGATAGAAAGAGGAGATCATTAAAATCTGAGCGCAAGACACACACACACTATGGCACACTCAGCATCACAAAGACAAGCAATTAAGCACAAACTAATGTACCTGCTAAAACATGGGAACCTTTTCACGAGTATATGCGCGCATGCACATATGCTGCATCCCTTACACATGCACACAGCCGTTAATCAAGCAATGCTAAATGTGGGTCAATGTGGTTTTATCCACTGGAGTGTGTGATTTGTGAGAGACCAAGTCATCATCAGAGGGGACACACACACTGGCACTAAGGCAATACCTTAGTAGTAAGCCAGCATAGAGGTCTTAACGGTTAGCCAGCTAAAGGTAATGCATAAGTGCTTCAAGTAATGAGCTATCTAAAAAGTCATGAAAACTGTTTAGATACTGAGATAAAGGTAATGGGTAAATACTTTAAATGGCAAGGTAAAGGTAATGGATAAATGGTTGAAATACACAGTTAAAAAACAGGTAGTTTTAAAGAATGTTTCTGTTTATTTTATATAGTTGCCTCACAGCAAGAAGGTCCCAGGTTTGAGCCTGGTCCTACTCAGGGCCTTTCTCTGCAGAGTTTGCATGCTCTCCTTGTGCCTGCATGGTTTCTCTCCGGGTACTCCAGCTTCATCCCACAGTCCAAACACATGCATCTTAGATTGGAGACTCTAAATTGCCCATAGGAATGAGTGAGTGAGTTGTGAGTGTGTGTGTGAGCCCTGCGATAGACTGGTGACCTGTTCAAGGTGGACCCCGCCTCTCATCCAATGTCAGCTGGGATAGGATCCAAGCCCACATGATTGGCTCCAGCCCCCCTGTGACCCTATTCAGGAATAGGTGGTATAGATAATGGATGGATGGATGGAGATACCTCAGTAGTGGCTGAAATACAACTCATAGATTAAAGATTAAAATGTCTTGGTTCTGCCAAACAGTAGCCTAGTACAGCAAATGCACATCTCAACAAATTAAGCTCAACATTTGTTTAATGTATGTTCATTACTACTTTACATTAACACTTCTGAAATGTCATGAGTGGTATTTTAGTTAGTAGGACAAAAAAAAAAATTGGAACCAGTATTCTCACCATCATGAGGAACATGAGCCCCAAACTAAAAATATCTTCAACAAAGCATTTCAAAGTTACAATTGCTAAACAATCAGGAAAAGGCTCAACTTCATCTTGTCCCTCACAACCAGTAATGAACTGTAGCCGCCTGCTATGACTGTGCCATATGGTTTTGTGGGATATTGAAGGGCCGCCGTTCAACTTCAATTCACTTGCCCTTGGCCAGACAAAAATGGCGCTTTTACAACTCCAGTTCATTGTCCGGTTTCCCGCACTTAACTCCTGTCGTCGCTAGTGCAGGGAGAGAAAGGACGAGCGTCACTGTCAGTGGCACAGCGCGCACGACCACACGCCCATAACCTTTAATAATGAAAGGCGAGGCTGCTGTCCAAGGTTCTGAAATCAGTCCGGCGCTTCAAAGTGACGCTACTCTACATGTTTATCCTGATTTATTTAGCTGCGGAAATTACACTTAGAGTTAACTATAACAACTTCTCTACTGAAAGTGAATTAACAGGACTTTAGTCCCCCCGCCGCCTCGCTGTGTCTCTTTCTCTTTGTAAGAAAGAAAGAGAGAGGGGGGAGCGCGAAAGAGAGAGAGAGAGAGAGAGCGAGAAGGGGGAAGCGAGTAAATCCAAGCAGGGATAATTAGAGGAGCAGGTCAGTATTGGAACATAGCATCCAGCGCAGAGAGAAAGATCAAGAAAAGCGAATCAAAGCCGTGTGAAGAGTCTAAATCGACCAACATCCGCGCTGACGTCCAGCGTTGGCAGATGCAGCAGCTTCCTCCAGCTCTCAGCATCCAGTTACAACGGAAGAGCTCAGCCTGTGTGGACTCTAAACCGCTGGCCAGTCAGCAGCGGAGCGCAGGGAGGGAAACAAAGCTCTGGCTCATATCTGCAGTCATTTCAAGTAGCATTCATCTTTATTTATTTATTTGTTTTGAATTTTGTCTCTCAAGTCGCACGAGCAAGTGAGGAGACTGCTGCCAAGATCAAGTCCGTGCAAGCAGGGAAACGGTAGGTCGCAGTGGTGTGTTGGGGAAAGGGGGGGGGGGAGGACAGTAACAAAATGAGGTTGTCAGATACTGTTTGGTAGCGACTGCTTGATCCAGTTTAGTCCTAAAAAACACCAGTAAAGGATTGTGTAGTGTTGATGTAGGCTATACTGAAGTATATAACTACCTGTGGTGTACTTCAGGAGATTGCAGAGGACGATTCAAACAAAATATGTCAATTGTTTTTGTAAGTGATATAATCTCGGGAATGAATTTAAAGTGAAAAGAAAGGCCATTATTTTGACATTCAGGTATTCTTGAAGCTTCCCAAAGCCCCAAATCAGGGTTGCTGTTATTGCGGAGTATTCTATCACTTCCCTAAGAAGTCATTCATTCATGCTATTACAGGTTGCAATAATTATAGTAGTTAACAGTTCAATATAGTGTAGCACAGTAAATAGACTATGTATATGTAAATTAAAAGACGACATAAACACTATGATTACAATATTTTGTCTACCCTCATTGATATGAAATGGGAAACACATCTCAGTATAACACAAACCATCCCATTTCTCCAGTCAGTCACATATAAGAATGTGTAAGCAGGTTGCAACCAGATTAATGAAAACAGAGCATAAGATATATAAAAGTCAAGCCATTCATTCTGCTCTGGCATAATTCTCTGACTCATACATTTCACAGCCCATGAGTTGAAGATAATTGTGAAGGAAACTGCTGTGATTGATTGCATCAACCAACCCTGACAATTAGAATGGAAAGTGTGCAAAAGTGTTTGTGCAAGGGAGAGAAAGAGACTGGAAAAAAATGGCATTTGAAATCTCACAAGAATTGATTTGATTCGATTTGATTTATTTATTCTTTCAAGCATGTAAAGACAGTTGATATGTCAACACACATAATTTTACACATATCCAACAAATGCTAATCCAATATCAATTTGCTTATACCTAGTACATGCTTGAATGGAGTAGGAAGAAGTCAGACTTATCCAGTCCTACCCCATGACATCATCTTACATCATTGGTTTGCAAGCAGTATCTCTACATAAATAATTCTCTTCCACACCACACAAGTAATATACTAAAAAAATATAACAGTGTTAACATTCTTACATAATTACATTCTTAAATAATTCTCTTCTACACCACACAAGTAATATACTAAAGAATTATTACAA